TGCCAATAAACCTAGATCTACTTAAATACTACTTCATGCATTCATTATTTGATATAATAGCTTGCTGAGTACGTTGTACTCACCCTTGCTTCAACCACCTTTTTCAAAGTATATTTGGAGTTCTTGCTGATGCTGGGAGTTCAATCACATAAGTTAGTTCCCTTTTAACTTAATCTTCAAGTCTAGGTAATTTAAATGGTTTAAGTCTATAGTAAAACAACAGAGTTAGGTCATTTTAAAGCTTCTGCTGTAATAGTTAGCCAGAATCTCGTAAATACCCTATTACTTTATGTAATAATATCTCCTTCAAAGCTATGTCTAAATGTATGCAAAGACGATCCAGATTATTGAAGCTGTATCAACCTACTGATCCAGGGCTTGATACAGTTAAACATGTCGGTTTCTGAATCATTAGTTTTGGGACCCGACATTTTCGCAGGCGGGCCGTTGCCCCCGACCATGTTGGGCCGCAGTCGATCCTCCCCCACGCCTGCAAAAATTACTTTTGGCTACCTGCAAAAATGCTTTTTCTAGTAGTGACGATCTTTAGTCCCGGTTGGTATTACCAACCATGAAGTCCTGGTTGGTAACACCAACCCGGACTAAAGATATTTTTAGTCCCGGTCGATGTTACCAACCCGGACTAAAGATGCCTCTAAGGTTAGTTTTAAAAAAAAAGCATATCTATCCAAGTTAGATGTGTATTGTATGTGGGATGGTAATGCGCGTGAGGGCTGAGATGAGAGATCTTGAGTTTAAATCCCACACCTCACACATTTTTTTACTTGGTATGCATTTTAATTTAGTCCCAAATTGTGCGCAACCGGGACTAAAAACGGTTGCGAACCTTCTTCATGCTGTAGCGGGCCTGTGTCATGCTGGCCTGGACCGCCCGTTTGGCTAGCTGTAGGTATAGATAAAATGAGTATTATTCAATAGGTAAATGTAATATAGATGGACGTGACTACACAGCTAGTGGTAGCTGGTTTGTCTAAACCAGCTACTACTCCATCTATGAGAGACACTATCTACATATACTTTAAATACAATTTTCTCTTAAATTACTCATCCGATCTATAATCCGATTACACCGTTGTGTTCGTAACAATTAAATCTTTATAACAAGATCCCACATGATTATATTTTGATGAAAAATTATAAATTATTTTTATAATATATCTAAATTACTTTTAGATTTCACTAAATTACTTCTTAGACATATGAAAGTAAATTCAATAAAGCCTAAAAGTAATTTATATATATTATAGAAATAACTTATAATAAAAAGAAAGTAATTTTAATGAATATCCTTTTTCATTGGACGTGACTACACAGCTAAAAATGAAAGGAAAAAAACAATCGATGATTAAACAAATTTATAGAGAGTTACTTTTGAACCATGCAAAAGTTACTTCCAATTAACATTGAAGTGACTTTTAAAAATTGTTAAACTTACATGTGTTGATATGTGCTGATTAAATTTTATTACTAGACAAAGTCATATTTTTATCCCTACAACGAATTTACTTCTAATGTCGTGACAAAGTTACTTCCGTTTTGTTTTAAGTTACTTTTATAATATATATAAATTACTTTTAGACTCTATTGAATTTACTTTTATATGTATAAGAAGTAATTTAGTCAAATCTAAAAGTAACTTATATGTTGATAAAAGTAACTTACATATATAATAAAAGTAGTTTACAAATATAAATATTTTTTTATCATAATATAATCATGTAAGATCTTGTTGTGAAGATTTAATTGTAACGAATACAGTGGTGTAATCGAATTATAGATCGGATAAGTAATTTGAGAGAAAACTTTGTTTGAAGAGGAAAAGGGCATACATGTGCTGTAGTAGACTTCTCAAAAAAACAAATGCATGCATGTAGTACGCTATAGTAGACTTCTCCATACACGTTCAGGCGTAGTTGGTTAAGGCAAAAACGAGAGGTCTCTCCAAATAGATTTTATGAATATAGATATGTGGGCGAATAAACTTGCTCAAAAGTTGCACGAAGTTATTTATCTATATAATAAATCATCCCTGTAAAATTTAACTGAATTTGATAAGATTTTATAGTGTGACACGAGTTTAAAAATTTTGTATCCAAATTTTAGGCACATATAATGGCTATGGAATATGTATGAAAGTGGTGTGGATATTATGGGTTCCCCATACCCACACGGCATGGTTATCCGACTGGTTATAGGGGATAACTTATCTCTATCTCTATCTCTACTATTAAAAGTTGAAGATATTTTTGCCAAAGATTTTTCGTACGTCACATTATCCGACACGAAGTAGATCAGCGTGCGTTTGATTCCCGTTTTAATCATCCGATTGCATTCACATCTGATTAACGGTTACCGGCCTGCGCACTAATTTGTTTATGTTTTCCAACGACGTGACATTGCTGGATAGAGGCATCGAGCAGTCCAATTCAGCGTAATAAAATATTCCTTGAGAGGCATGAGCGATCTGGCCAGAAGAAAAACAAAAAGAAAAAAAAAGAAAAGGGAAGTTTTGGGTTGGTTTGATTTAAGTACCGGACTTTTGTTACGTCATCTGTATTTGAATCGGTTTATAAGGTTATTTGTTTTTAGAAATATTAATCTGTGTTTGAGACGGATTTTAAATTCGTTTGATTTTGGAAATATAAAAGAGGTTGTATAAGAAATATCTTTAAAAAAACTCGCGTGCTAACTTGAGATGAAAGTTAGACTCCTAATTACATATCGTGATTTTCTAAAAAAAAATATCCAAGCTAATTCCGAAAGTGAATTTTATCCTAACTAAACCGTATAATCTCTATCTCCACTATTATAAAAATTAAAGATGTTTTTACCTTTATTTTGGTACGTCATCCGTATTTGATTTGGTTTTTATGTTCGTCCGCTTTTAGAAATACATATCCGTGTTTAAGTCGGATTTGATTTTAAGTTTGTTTGCTTTTAGAAATACAAAAGGAATCGTATAAGAAATCTCTTTAAAATAACTCGTATGCTAACTTGATATGTAAGTTGGACTCCTTATTGCGACTCAAGATTTTCAAAAAAATTAGCGTTCACCCGTTGCAACGCACATGCATTTTTTTTAGTCTATTAAAAAATTGAAGATGTTTTTGCCGTGGCTCTTGGTACGTCATCCGAGTTAATCTCCTTATCGAGTTGCTTTTCGCGTTAATCTCCGTTTCCGATTTCGCATTGGATCACAACGCGTGATGCAGAGGGGTGAAGAACTGAAGATCGCATTAGACGTGCTTGTGTAACTGAAACGGGCTTGTGCAACATCTGATCCTGCCGGTTTGATGTAGAGCCGGCCAGCCCATTAATGGCCTAACCACAGCTTTCTCTCTGTGGGTCCTATTTGATCAGTCAACCAAATCTATATATCTTCCGATATTTTTTTTGCCCGTTGTTTTTTTTTCTCTATCTATATTGAAGATGTTTTTGCTGTGGCTCTTGGTACGTCATCCGAGTTAATCTCCGTATCGAGTTGCTTTTCGCGTTAATCTCCGTTTCCGATTTCGCATTGGATCATAATGCGTGATGCGGAGGGGTGAAGATCGCATCAGACGTGCTTGTGTAACTGAAACGGGCTTGTGCAACATCTGATCCTGCTGGTTTGATGTAGAGCCGACCAGCCCATTAATGGCCTAACCACAGCTTTCTCTGTGTGGGTCCTATTTGATCAGTCAACCAAATCTATATACCTTCCGATATTTTTTTTTGCCCGTTGTTTTTTTTCCGTATGCGTTTTTTCGCATGGGCCTGGTTTTTTTCCGTCCGACTGGTTTTTTCGCACGCGTACGCGGTTTTTTCGAAGAGCTCAGTTTTTATTCCGACCGATTGGTTTCTTTGGGCCCGGTGTTTTTTCGGTCTGATTGGTTTTTTTTCATGCGGTTTTGTTTTGCCGGGTTTTACCCAATCCAATTTTTTTCTCTTTTTTCCGTCCTATATTTTTTCTTGAGATAATCCATAAAATGCTATTGACAAGCGTCTAAGTCCCAGAAATACCATCGATAAGTGTGAGTTTCAAGAAATGCCATCATACTAACGATTTTGTCTCAAAAATATCATCGCCGTTAAGATTCCGTCCATTCCGTGCTGTTAAATACTCTGATCATCCTATAGAACTTAACGGCGCAGAATGGACGGAACCCTAATGGTGATGATATTTTTGGAACAAAATCGTTTGTACGATGGCATTTCTTAGAACTCATACTTGTCGATGGCATTTCTGAGACTTAGATACTTGTCAATGGCATTTTATAGATTATCTTTTTTTTCTTAGTGGGTCGCATTATTTTGTCGCGGTTTATTTGGTGGGCCCGGTTTTTCCCACCGCTGATTCTGATAAGTTTTTTTTGTGCGCTATGGATCGAATCCCAAATCTATCTATACCTAATCTCTATCTCTACTATTATAAAAACTAGATCCTGGGCACGCCTCTGCGTGCCGCTTGAAGGACCAGCGAAGTAACGAAGCAGGAAACAGTGGTGACGTTATGATAAGCTTTTTTTTTTTTGGATAGTTGATTGTGGCGAGGGATGTACGTGTTATCCATTATCTAAAAAAATCCGTGATGGACTGACCACAAAAGAACAGTGTGTGGCATGGTCTCCAGGCAAGTAGCTGGACCAGGTGAAGGCAAAGAACACAGGTCAACAGATCTGAAGAAAACAACTCAGAGGAGCATACTGTAAATATATGTCTACCAGCACGGACGTATATAAATAGGAATAATTTAGATTAGCTCATTTGTGCATATTAATAGTATCCTAATCAGTAATCTATCTTGCATGATAAAAACAACAAATATCATACAACAGCTACAAAACAATGGGCAGTTCACTATCAACGTTGAGCATTCATATTCAAACTTCAGTTTATTATTCAGTTTGTTAAATAAGGATAAAAGCTTATACTTTGGAAGAGTGTCTCCCGGCTTATCCAATAATAATGCTCATTCTGTATAGGGGCATAGCAGAGAGTACAAATCTTTTCCCATAAGGGTAGATAATATTCAATAAAAAACTATTGAAATAATTCATTAACAGAAAAGTCAGATGCTACAAAGCCACAAATATTATGCCAGTTCAACTACACGTTGTTTCTAAATATCTCCCATAGTAATTGAATCTATCACCTGCTCTGCTGAGAAGTAAAAAAAAAAAAAAGCTGACCATCTAATGTACATATCACTTGGAGTAGTTGACAGCCCTGATCCTAACCCTCATTGACGAGATGCAAATTTGTGAGCCACGATGACTTCATATGAGGCATTGGTAGGTGATGATTGTGCTATTGATGTAGCAACATGCTCAAAACTGTTTCTTCGCATCTTAAAGGCACTGCAAACAATTTTGCTAATAGAAATTGGAAAGGGTTAGGGAATCATTTTGCTAGTTTCTTCTATTCTTGAAGACACTATAAACAATTTTGCTTGTGGAAACTGAACAGGGTTAGGGAATCATTTTGCTTGATGAGAAGAGCCTTGATGTTAACCAGGAATCAGAAAAATGGGCAATACCAGCAAAGGCAAGGTGAAGCAGACATACCTCATTATTTCACCATACCTCTCCATAGGAAATGATGAAAGAGAAAGAGAGTAATATACCCTGCAGTAAACACAAATTGCCAGGTAAGTGCATTTCAAAAACATAAAAGAATCTAGTCGGTTCAATGATCTACCTCAGGACAGTCCTAAGAATCACAAAACACAAAATGGAAGATGCATGTACATCGTAGCGTGTTATAAAACACATTGGATATCACTGTTTTTTCTGAAAAGTTCCTAGAAACTACACCAAGAATTGTGACTGATGAGGGAAAGCACACAAGAAAAGAACCAATTCATCAACAGCGAATGCAAGGCGGCAAGCTTATCAGGTGACTGAATCAGATATCCAAGAGCTTTTCAAACGGATAAACTAAAATCACTATTAAAATGGTATGTAATTTGCCATATGAAATGCACCATTTCTGCAATATCGCTATTTATGTAGTACTGCAAGCATATTTTTGCTATCAAAACCTATTTCACTGTATATAGAAAAGGTACATAGGCATAATTTCTTCTATTTTAGATGCTCAATTAGAAAAGAACACAGTAGTGCCGTGAAGAGATAATATATCTATTTCTAGTGAGTCTAGAAGTGTTACTGGCCCTGAAGAGATAACCGAGTGGTTCTTAATAATTCTCACAATTTAGAACCCAAGACCAAATTGTAGAACACATGCATTAATAGCTAGTTACCTGCATGAAAGCTAGTGTATATTGAATTGGTTTCCATGATTAGAGTGTTGCCAATCATAAAAATCAGGCAAACCAAGTTATCATGTGTCAATGCTTGTGCCAAATTAAGAATGCATGGACAATTAAATCCTGCGCGATAAAAGAAACTGATTCATACAAACAGGTGAAATAAATCAACTAACATGCATTGGTTGCATGAGTATCAAGATGATTGCATCCACAATCCAAACCTTAATTGGATGAAATGGTTCTTAATTAAGTAAATGTAGGGCATAAAATAAATAACATAGAATTATTCTTAGCTTGAAAAGTTATATTGACATTCTGTCATAAATGCAACATGTAGAAACCTAAACATAGGTGCACCAAACCATATCTCCATGAAAGATGACCCTTTGACAACTATTGGTATGATATCCATCTAGATACCTCAAAGAAGATGGGGATGCCAAGAATAAACAATATACCTACATATAATATCTGAGCACCTACTACATAAAATGGAAGGGAGAAACACCAAGATCATAGGCAAGCCCAGGTAACAGCCAACACTTCGACGACATTAATCATCCTACTTGAATTGAAAAAAAAAAGAAAGCATCAATTGTTTAGTGCCCAAGAATTAGACTAAAAGTGAGGCTCAGATCAGAGAAAAATATTTTACTAAATGGGTTACTATTAATATAACAAAGCACTATTCTAGGTACATATATGCCAGCACATACTCTTATCGTAAATTGGATGTGTCAAAGAGCAGGGGTTAGCAGAGGAGGCAGAAAAGAAAGGATAAGGTGGACTATTTCCATTTAAGAATATATTGCCACTAATCTGCACCAGAAGAACTATTGCAGGTAGATATCTATACACAATAATTAGCAAAATTAAGAAACTGCAAGAATTATGCTAGGATGATTTTGTAATCAAAATGATATGAGAAATAAATAGATGAGTGGTGCTGGAGAGGCAAGTCAGGCCATTGGTACCTATCTTTCCATGCTGAATTCTTCTTCGATTTAGAAATTCGTAATGGTTGGACACTTCTACCTGGACACTTCTACCTGTCCTCCATCAAGGAATGCATCCCATATTCCCATTCTGATGTTCTTTAAAAAAAATATGCAGTTCCGATCATTTATTAGTACATATACTATCTATGAAGCAAAGGGAGAGGGAGGGAGTGGGAGAGAGAGCAAGAAGCTAAAAATGCAAATGGTTAGTTTTGTCATGTAGAGTACAGATAACACATCCTCTTTTGTACGAGTGTGTTAGATTAGGTTGTCCTTCACAGCAATCAGCCAAGAAATTCCAAAGCAGAAACAAATATCTGCAACTGATGACAAAGAACAGCTATATATCCCTGGCCAACTGTATCTGAAGCGTGCTTTTTTGCAGACCTTAAAAACTACAGGGTGCATAGCCACTTGCTTGAACTTTAAAGAAAAATAAATCCAGTTAAAAATAACCTAAAAATATGTAGAATTGGAGGAAGGGGAGATGATACCTGTGGAAGTTAGAAAGGGTTTGATGGTGCTGGCGGCTGGAGCAGATGAAGGAAACGGATAGTCTTGCGAGGCAGTGGAGCAGCTTGGGATGGACTTGGCAGCGATGAGTGAAGCGAAGGTCTTGGTGCTTGCTAGCAGCTTGCTCTGCGCGAAGAAGACGTCCTTGCGTCCTTGGATCTTGAGCTGCGGAAAGAACAACGGCTTGGCATCCACAATGGCGGCAATCATGTCCTTGGCCTGTAGGTCGAGCCGGCGCATCTCATCCCCGCCTACGGGGGCTTATACTACGATGCGGACGCAGCGGCGCTGGGGTCTCAGAGCTCCACCACCCAACCTCCTCATTTGCCAGCCGAGGAGGTTAGGTGAGGAGGGCATGCGGTAGCGGATGAGGCCTGCCTGGCGGCTGCGGCGGCGGCGGCGCCTGTTGCTGGCCGATTTCCTCAATCGCGCCGGCAGTCGCGGCAGCCCCACCTCCTCGCGACCTGCTCCTCTCCATCTGCGCGTGCTCCAGAGCCTCCACCGGCGTCGGCGTCCAGGCTTAGATGGGAGGGGCGGAGGACAGAGGTAGGGGAAGAGGAGCCGACGAGACTCGATAATGGTGGCGCGGAAGTCGAGTCGTGCGTTTGCGTACACACTTCGTCCTCTCGTTCTCCAAGCCAGGCTGTGTTTAGATCGGCGTAAAGTTTGGATTTTGGTTAAAATTAAAGATGACGTGACTGAAAAGTTGCGTGTATGATAGGTCCAAACTTTATATCTAATCACAGCCCCAGAGTAGTAGCAGGAAGCCTCCCACTGCTGATCGGTGGGGCCTACGTATATCAATTCATTGGGAAGTTGAACCACCCAGCCGTGATTTGATTGGGCAAGTGTGAGGCCAAGGAAATTTCTCATGAAACTACCTAAGAGCAAGTTTATTTGTACGGTCAACTACTAGCTCCAATTCATTTATAGCCAATCTAATAGTTTATTCATACAATAGTTACATACTACATTATTAATACATAGTCTCATCTGTCATACACACACTACGTCTTGGAGTCCGTGCTACAGCTAGCTACAAATCTATAGCCTGCTGTTCTTCTCTCTCATCATTTATCTCCTTAAAATATATTTGCAGCTGGCTTATAGCCTGCTATTGTACCTGCTCTAAGGTGTAGCTGACTCCTGGGGCCTACACACGAGCGACGCAATTGGTCCATCTGGAAGAGGAGCAGTAATCACACGGACGAAAAAAAATCAAACACCATATTTCTGTCGCTACAGTAATCCGACGTGGCACGCCCTAGAGGCCGCCCTGCGTACGAACCTTTATATGTTTCCTAATTGAAGATGATTCCGCTAAAATACTTTGGTATGTTGTCCGTATTTGAGTCTGCTTTTAAATTTATTCGCTTTTGGAAATACATAAAAGAGTCGTATAAAAAATCTTTTTAAAAACCTTGCATGCTAACTTGGTATGAAAGTCGGACTCCTAATTGATTTACAATTCTCGTCAAACCATAAGAAACTTTTGAAAATACATAAGGAGTCATATAAGAAATCATTTTAAGAACCTTACATGCTTACTTGGGATGAGAGTCGGACTACTAATTGATTTATAGTTCTCGTCAGACCATTAAAAAGCAACGTACAAGATATGATCAATACTATCAAAATAAAAATCCCATATACTTATAAGAAATAAAGTCTAACAATAATATGATTAAATAGCCTTCACCCGTTATGCACGAGCATTTTTTCCAGTATCTATGAAATATGTAACGGATCATAACTTGGGTATTACGTTTTCTTGTATATTATGGAACAGCCTAAAGCCCTGGTCTGATAATATTGTAAAGTAAATTTAGAAAATCGATACCGTATTGGTTAAGGTTTCTATCTTGTAATCCTGCCTCCATCCTATATAAGGTGGGCAGGAGGCCTCTAGGGGCAAATGATTCACAACTAGATTGTCAGATCAATACTATACCCGACGGATTCAAATTCTCAAACATGAGTAGGGTATTATCTCTCGTTGAGATGGCCTGAACCTGTCTAAATCTTTTGTCTCCGCATTCATCCACCTTTAGGTCTCGTGCGCTACCCCTTTATATTGCCAAAATCATGTTTTGACAAAGTGGGTAATGATAGGTTTTGTCCTCCCCTTCCGAAAACTCAAATAGTAATTCCTACTTACCCGTAAACTCCTCAAATAGTGTGGATTTGGGTATGGTAAGGGTAATGGATATATTGGCAACCGCTACTTTTGTTGACCAAGGCTCTATTATATCCTCCGACTCTAAATTATAATATTCTCGTTTTCCATTAGCACGTTTAGTAAGCTACTAAGCGATACTTTTATTCAAAAAATTTCTATACAGAAGTTCCTTCAAAATCAAACAAATCCATCTTTTAAGTTTGTAATAATAATTACACCCTGATGGTATATCTTGTTTTACGTGCGGTAAAAACTAACCTTCAACTTCAACGATCGAACGGATACGTGAGTAGTGAAAAATATTCTCCCTTTTTATAAAGGGTTAATTGGATCCATGCCACTGCAAATATGGTAAATCAAAAATATACCACTACTATTCACGTTATCTGCTGGATGCCACCGTAAATTTTTAAAATTGAATCCATGCCACTCCCGTTACTCTCCCGTCAATCTTTCCGTCTTCCCCATCTTCTCCCCGTTCTCCTCCTCTCCACCGCCCCGGATGACGCTGCCGCCGACGCGGTGCTCGGCCACCTCGCCGACCGTAGGTACGTCGCGACCTGCGCCTCGTCGCCGAGCTCCGCATCGAGCGCGCGAACTCCGCGGTCACCTTCTCCACACCCTGCGCCGCAGCCGGCGGCGGCAAGAAGAAGCGGCGGTGCCTCCTCCCGCCCTCGTCCGCCGGCCACCGCTCCACCATTGCTTTCCTCGTGTGAGGGGACGTCGGGTTCTTCCGGCCGTTGTCATGTCCAGTAAAAGGTTGGCAAGCGTATGCCTCGATTGTTCTCCAGAATCTCTCGAAAACACGGATTGGAATCTGGAAAGCTTGCATATTTTGGGTTCAATATGTTTCCAATCCACACTACAAGTAGGAAGTAGGGTATTACTTCTTGATTAAGAAAGTCTGAACCTATATAAAATTTCTTGTCTCTAAACCCATCGACTTTTCTAGCTTGATAGCCACCCCTTTTAGTATTGCCGAAATCTTGTTTCGACAACAAGCTACCACTAAGCAAAATCCAGGGTTTAGATACGATACGAGCAAATAAGGGAATCAATCACTTATAGCTTCGACGTTGATTCTGTAGACGAGCAGGCGGCATCGTTCACGGCAGCTGGCGTGGTAGGCCATGGCGATGTGCGTGTCGGTGAGCGCGAGCGACATGAGGAACATGGCCTGCAGCCCCAGCCCGGCCTCGTCAGGCGCCGCGCCGAACACCACGGCCGCCTTGGTGACGACGTAGCACACCGGGCGGAGCGGTGGTCATGGGAGAGCGTCCCCTCGCCGTCGCCGCCGGCCGTGACCCCATGTTCGTCACTGCCTACGCCGTGCACCCGGACGGCCGCGGCAGCGACTTCCTCGACTTCCTCCTCGAGCAGGGAGTGGCATGGTTTCAATTTTAAAAATTTATAGTGGCATCCAGCAGATAGCGTGAATAGTAGTGGCATATTTTTAATTTGTCATATTTACAGTGGCATAAATCCAATTAACCCTTTTATAAAAAGGCGTACTGAGAATTTGTCAACTTGAGACCACGATCCACCTGTTAACCATCTCCCTGTGCCGTCTCGGAGTTAGCATGCTGTGTTCTGAAACTGACCCGAGAGCAGCGATCAAGATACTGGATTACTGGTGATGTACCAACTCTTTTTTTTTTCCTCAAAAATGCAGGAGAGCTGCATTTCATTTTATTAAGGGGAAGAAAAACAACACAAAAACACAAGAAAACAAAAATAAATACAAAATAGGAGGACCCGAGCCCTCCTACCGAGACCCACGCACACTAGACCACCCGGAGAGTTTAGTTGCCTAGGCTTGCTATCCCACTAAGGAGCTTTTGAAGGCCAGAAGCTCCTGCAACACACCAAAGATAACTCTCATTTTCTACCACTTGCAAGACCATCGCAACTCTAGGATTGGCGCCATTGAAAACACAGTTGTTGCGGTGCTTCCAAATCTCCCAAGCCACTAGGGTCACCAAAGAGTTAATCCCCTTTCGTACCTCCTTCGGCTGATTCTTGGTCGTTTGGCTCCACCACCTTAGAAAGCGGTCGGTAGAGGACGGAGGCGCAACCTAGGCTAACCCTAGCCTCAAGAAGATTGCCGTCCATACTTGGCGAGAAAAGACACATGATATCAAAATGTGTTGGATGGATTATTCATTTTAATCACGAAGAGGACAACTCACCGAGTGCTGCAGCCCACGCTTAGACAGTTGATCGGCCGTCCAACACCTATTATTGACAGCCAACCAAATGAAGAATTTGCACCGGAGGGGAGCCCAACACTTCCAAATACGTTTTCAAGGAGCAAACTTGATCGAACCCAGGAAGTAAGCTTCGTAGGTAGATTTACAAGTGTAAATACCATTTGCGACGAGTTTCCACACATGCTGATATTGGACATCTTAAATATTCTACTAGATCCCAAATGGGCAGGTATTCATAAATAACCTGGACCGAAAGCCCCCCTTGGATGTCGGCAACCCAACTCCTAAATTTTTTTTTTGAGAAATACCAAATATATTTTCAAACTATATATATATCAACTTTATCTTCTTTTATAAGCTGGAATCCTATGTGTACATAAAAAAAGGTCTACACAATTATTACTAACAAGGCTCTCAGCCTTTCAATTTAATTAGCTGAAAGTTATTGAAAAAGAAGTCAAGATTCAGGCCCTGTTTAGTTCCCACACAAAAATTTTACACCCTGTCACATCGAACGTTTGAACACCTGCATAAAGTATTAAATATAGGATAAAAAATAATTAATTGCACAGATTGTGACTAATTTGCGAGACGAATCTTTTAAGTCTAATTGCTCCATGATTTGACAATGTGGTGTTACAGTAAACATTTGGTAATGCCAGATTAATTAGGTTTAATAAATTCATCTTGTTGTTTACTGACGGATTCTGTAGTTAGTTTTTTTATTATAGCCCGAACACCCTATACGACACCCTACATAATACCCGATATGACACGCCAAAACTTTACACCCCTGTATCTAAACACCCCCTCAATCTGTTTATAAAAAAAATGTATGTATTTCTATGAGGTTATTTTTTGGTTTATTTTAAAGGAAAAGGAAACTCGATCACGTTCAATTTTGATAATGTTTGTTGAATTAGCGAAGTACAAATAGAAATTGAAATTATTTCTTTTTTGTATGTTGAAACTGTTTATATCTTTGTATTGTGTATGCTGTAATATTTGTGTATGTTGAAGCTATATATGTATGTAAAATTTCATTTGTCTTGTCAAATCCCTACGTCTGTGTGTTCTCGTTATTTCATTTTGTTCTTTGGAACAAAGGTTTTTAAGCAATTTTGTAGGATATGAATCCTTTGAAATGCTCCTTTGGATCAAAGGAATGGACCCTTTCAAATTCCTATGAAATGGCCAAATTCAGAGAGATTTTGGAGGAAATCTAACATAAGCTTCAAGCTCTTGGGAAAATTTCCTTTATGTCATCCTCTCTCCTTGTGAAGCATTCAAACAACAAAATTGAGAAATTCCTATATTTTCATATTGTTTAAGATTACATTGATGTGTCACTTTAATTCTTGTATTTTTTTTCTATCCTGCGTTTCTCAACTCCTACTTTCAAAGGAGCCACATATTTTCGTGTTGTTTATACTTTGTGTTTTAGTTCATATAGATGAGAGGAACAAATCGCTTTTGGCATGCATGCATGCTGATCGACAAGAAGATACTGCCTCTGTTTCAGGTTATAAAACTTTCTAGTATTGCCCACATTCATTTATATGTTAATGAATCTAGATATATATATGTGTGACTAGATTCATTAACATTTATATGAATGTGACAATGTTAGAAAGTCTTATAATATGAAACGGAGGAAGTAGAAAATAAGTAAATTTTTGTTATGTTAGCTGGCCAACCGGACCGGCCGCCTGACTCTGCTGACCTGCATTATTCGTCACACAGTTTGAAGCTTGCCGATCTGATTTGAACACACAGAGCAAGGAGAAAAAGAAGCCTATGCAAATGCTCCGAGCACAAAACTTAATTACTCTCTTAGGTTCAAAAGCTCTAGCCAAAACTTCTGTACAGTTGGGTCACGTTCTGGCTTTGAGAATAAGGCCTCGTTCGGAACTTCCTCGATTTGCTTAGCATGCTTTAAACGATATGTGTTTAGAAAATCTTTTATTTAAAAATTAAATACTCATTATTATTAATTTCTTATCTCATTTTACGCACTACCACGTTACTTATCTCGTTTTACTACTACCACAACTAATAGAGGGTTATAAGAAAACTAAATGCTGGGGTGGATGAGAGACGAGAGGAGAGAGATGAGAAACGGGCTATAAATTTACAGCCATCTTAGGCACATGAATCAAGAAAATCTATGAAAAATCTGTGAGACAGTCAGATGGACCATATATATTTATGGTGAAGAGTTAACCACTATATAAGTGATCTAAAAAACAGGCTATAAAAATTTATACAGTAAGAACTGAGCCTAACAAGTGTGCCTATTCAATGTTTTATGCCCTAACTTGCCTACTCAGTGTTTCAGCTACAAAATGAAATTTGCACGAACATATCAATGATTTAGCTACAAGTTATTGTTGCAGGTCCTGTGTTACAGAAAAAATAGACTCACTTATTTCACAATGTATGGCTCATACATACTTTGGCTTCAAGTTGCAGCCACATGTGACTTGCATTTCAGAAAAAAAAAATGGTCTATGGCGTTTGAAAATCTATAGGAAAGAAAACCAATATCATTTAAAAGAAATTCCCAGTTCCAAGCGCACAGAATTCACAGAAAATATCACATGAAAACACTCCCAAAGTACATAGCACATTTAATCAAAGTTTAGTGGTCCAGTGCATCCAAACATTCAAAGATATAAACTGCCATCAGGCCAAGACAAATAATGTGCAAACCCATCTGACAGCACTAGCTGAAGCAGCATAGCTATCCAGCAGCAAAACGGAAGTATCATAAAACCAAAATCGGCATGCAACATGCGAAAATCTGCCATCGTATTCATCTATAGCGATCATGGTCACGCTCGGTTCCTCGCTCCCAGCTCCTCTCATAGCTGTGATCTCTGCCCGTGTCCCTCCCCCTTTCCTTCTCACGGTCTCTACTTCGGCGCCGCTCCCTTCCATGACTGCCTCTATCTCTGTTCCTGCTATCCCGTTCATCGTAGTCATGGTCTCTGCCCTGATCTCTGCTCCTTTCCTTGCCTTCTCTTCCAGTGGAGCCTACAATGATGATGTATAAATATAATAGCGTACAGTACAAAAATAAAAGGCAGAATTTGTTGTTAGCTCAGGGACATGGCAAAAGGAAAATTGGCTCTCTTTGCCAGAAAGTAGGTTGTTTGTCCAGCATTATGTGCATGTACTTTGTGAGGATTTGTTTCAGTGTACAAGTACAAATTGTAAAGTAAATATAGTTTGAAATTTTCCTATGTAAATAAGCATCGAAATGTCATCCTCTATTCCTCTACGATAATAATTTTGCCACAATAGTTTACAAAGAACATGAGATAGGATCATAGGACCATACCCTCCAAACATAATCAATTAACAAAAAAAAACTAAAATGGGCATGTGATAATACCACGTTGCTCGACCTCCCATCCAGCACGTCCAGACCCAGGAAGAGTTGGTGCATTTTCAGTTTGTTGTGTTTTAGCACGAAATTTCTTTTTGAGGTTGCCAAATTCATCATACATCTCTCCGTCATCCTACAACGAAAGCAACATTTAGACGCAAACCTAAGACTTCACACATGGGACATCAAATAACATATCCCACCTCTTCAGCCTCTTTGCGGCGCCTTTTAACTTCCTCTAGTTCTTCTTCATCAAGTTCTTTATACCCACCACCCCGGCCACCTCTGCAAAGAGATGTAATTGGTGAGAAAAGTTACATGATAATAATTCTATATAAAAGTTATATAGATGTCACTTGCCATTTTATGTATAATAATTACATGAGTTACTTATATAGGCAACATAACCACATGTACTCAATTTATCGTACCTATTTATATAGGGTTGGTTTGGTTTGTGGCCTAAATAGGCCTTACCAAATTTTGACAAGTTTTGGCATGACTAATTTTGGTATGGCAAAGTTGTGTTTGGATTGAAGCCAAAACAGCCTAAGTTCACTATTGAAATGGCCTATTTTCTTAGGCATACCAAAATTTGGCTTCAAGCCAAATAGATACTAAACACTATTGAAATTGCCAAATATTGGTAAGCCTAATTTAGGCCTCAAACCAAACCAGCCCATAACTTCATGCTAAAAATTCAATGTTGACAGCAAAGAGTAACAAAAAGGAAATCAAGCAAAAAAGGTAAGGAAAAATGTTACATCATACTAATCTTTCTTTTAGTGTTTATTCTGACACTTGATTTTCAAGATGAATTTTCAATGTGCTAATACATGGGAATGTTTACACTGATGGTGCCCCAACTGAAGCTGGGATGCATAATTACAACCCAAGAGTGAATTAAGCCCAATATGTTGCCTAGTTAGTGACATAACATACTACACCCAACTGAGTTGTCATAACTCTATAACCAATGGATATCACAATTGGCAAAAGATGCACCGTGTGACTGCAGCTAGGTGCACAAATTATCATTACCATAGGTTCACAGATTTAGGACCTGTTCGTTTGGGCATTTGGCAGTTGCAACTTCCTCGTTTTCCATTAGCACGCTTCTTAAACTGCTAAACGGTGCGTTTTTGCAAAAACTTTTTATATAGAAGTTTCAAATAAACCCATTTTTCAAGTTTGTAAATAATTAATACTCAACTAATCATGTGCTAATGGCTTGCCTCGTTTTACGTGCAAGTGAAAAGCTAACAGCTACCGCTCACTAGAACTGAACCTTAGACATACCAAACAAATGGGATAAAATGCATGTCATATTGCACTTCTCTGTGTCTAGAGTTGCTCAATCGAGACCAAAAGCTCACTATAATTCATGCCAAAGCAGAGGCAAATAATATATTTCAACTATTTGACTGATGGATATGACACATGCAGGTTGTGCATACGTCTTACTCTTACCTAACACCACCTTCATTGTGACCTGGCTTGGTGGTGTTACAGATATTACATTTCATCCGCTTTGCCCAATTTATGTTGCCACACCTGGAAAACATTAAATGAAGTATCATCACATAAGCGGTTTTATAACATTGTACAAGGTACAACCATAACCATTGTGCTTTTATTACTGCAGATCAATTTAATCAATACTACTACATAATAATATACTAGTACTACAATCCACTATGGTTCGAGGAGACAACAACATGTCATCATCCTAACGAAGTTATAAAATACTTGTGTTGATGGAATAATATTTAGATGAAACAATATTGAAAAGCACTAGTAGGTTAGTAACAACTAACAAGAACCATAGATTACAAGGTCGCCACTCACTAATCAATATATTGCAAAATCGATCTGAAATCATTAAATTTAAGATGAGAGTTGCGACAGCTATGAAATTTAATTTTCTAATAGCTATTATTACCAATATTAAGTGTTTCTCCAATTGGTGCATAAACACAGGGTACAAATAATATTGATGATTTGAACAGGCACAAATAGGCATAGAGAGCACTGCCCAATTGGGTTCATAGGCCAGACAGGCAACAGATAATAATAAATACAGATAAGGAAAGGACAGAACAAGTTAGGAAACAGCAAGCTTCTGTGGGTGTTCGTACATTGGGCAAGGCCAATCATTTGGACCAAACAGTCCAGGAGGACCACCAACAGCAGCAGCAGCAGCAGCACGGCTGCCTCCTCTTGCATCATCACTTCCACGGCCTCTACCCCTACCACCACCACCAGCACTTGATCCACTAACACCAGCAGGGCGAGCAGCTCCACAGAGATTACAGACACCACGAAAGGCAAAGTTTACATTGCCACAACTGGGAGAAGAAGCAATATCAGAAAGTATTTGAATACACTGTGAAGACCATACTACTATACTAGCCAGCAGTAGAAATAGAGTAACAAGGGAAGTTGCTCACCAATCAAAACAGACCTTGTATTTGGGCACAGCCAATCCCCATCTTGCTGCCAGGCTTTTCCTGGACCATCACCGCGCCCTCTCCCTCTGCCTTCCCCGTTATCTAATTCATCTTGTCCACCAAGTTCAGCAGAGTTGTTCAAACTTGCAGTTGCAGAGCTATCATTCATGTCTTTGTTTTTTGACTCAGCTATATGAACCTGAATGGTGCTTCCATGGAAATCTTTGTTATTGAACCATTCTACTGCAGCTGAAGCAGCATGCGGATCTTCATAGGTGACTGTCGCATCACCCTTTGGTTCATTGGTAACTTTGTCCCTATATATCCAGATTTTTGGACGCCCAGTCCTTTTGTCCTTCTATTGAGATCGAGAACAGAAAATGACTAATTATCACAACACTGAAGCAAGGGCTTAAAGAATCTTCAGTAATTTTGAAGTGGCTTTAAAAATGTTACCTGGGAAGACCCCATACCTTTAGCAACCCTATGGTGCCAAAATATTCAGCCAGCATGGTCTCATCGGTTCCAGGAGGCAGATTGCATACATAAACAGAACCATTTGGGGGGCCTCTTGACATAAACCCAGCCATCTCCCAACTGATAGTCCCAGTTACAAAAGATTAGTACCATTGGTTAAATTGTATTGCTGATTCTCGATGCAACATTACTAATAATCATTAATCAACAGCAAATTAGAGTACTGGACAGAATGGTAGTACAAATTAACCCAAAGATGGAGGGTCGTACATGTAACAAGCAGTAGAAAAACTTAAGCACAGGATTAAAGCCTCTATATATTCTCTTCATGAACCAGTCCGAGTTTTAGAACTTTAACCCTATATAGCAGCAATCGCAGGACCCCTCACAGAACAAAATCGAATCCGTGCAGCTCAACGCCGCCCGGCCAAAATAAACCCTAGCTAGATCGCGACCGAAAAGCCAGGGGCGGATCCAACTTGGGGCATGGGGGTTCAATTGAACCCCCAAACTTTTGGGGGAACAAACAAACTGTTACTTGTATTAAGGTTAAGGCTCTGAAATTAAGAGAAGAGCTTCTTCCAGATCTAGAAGAGAAGCTAGGGTTAACGAACGCAAGCAAATTACAGACAAAAGTAGTCCCCGGTGGTAGAAAGAGATGATGAATCAGAAAGAGGATGTGGATGCTCACCAGGATCCCCTCCACTCCCCTCCTCTGCTCGCCAGATGGAGATCAGCGTCCCTCCCTGTTCAGCAGCGAGATGGCGCAAGGAGCTGAGGAGACGGGACGGGAGATTTTCTTTTAACTATTTGCCACTCTCTTCAATGGAGAGCATATCAAGTTGGAACTTTACAAACCAACCGTTAGAATGTTATTCCAACGGATGAGATCACAAAGTACCCATTACAACGGTACATTTTGCATTTACCACCCTGCTTGACATATGTTTTACTGATTTAGGGTAGCAATACACATCCTTATTATAACGCCCCGATTTTCGTTCGGGATTAAAAATCATTAAATAATACATTTCAAGAAATTATATTAAAAATTAAATCAATTTAATCAAGTGAAATAGTGAGGGAATTAAAAATTTCCTTTAAAAATCAATGGCCGAAAATATTTTGTAATATTCTCTGTGCCCTAATATACTCTTCGGATTTTTCCGTGAATTTTCGGAGCTCGGGAAATAATTTTAATATCACAAAGTTCATTTAATCAATTTTATTAAAAAGAAAATCAATAAAACTTCCCCTTCCTCCCTTTCGGGCTCGGCCCAAATTCCTCCCCCCTCCTCCTTCCCAGGCCGGCCTCTCCTCCCTCGGCCCACTTGGCCCTCTCCCTCTCAAAGTCCGTTTTACCTCCCTAGCCCGTTTTCCCCTCCCTCTCTCCCCGACAGGTCCCCACCTGTCATCCCCGACCTCCATCCATCCCGGCCGGCATCGCAACCGTCGTGGCCACCAAATCCCCCCACCCCATGTCGACGGCTCCCTCGCGCCCTCCTGTGCGGGCCCGATGCCGACCCCTCCACTCTCCTCTCTACTTCCCCTGCAAGAACCGGCGCCGAATAGCCGCCCACCTCCTCCACAATGCCACCCCTCTCTCTCTCTTTTCTCCTCGTCATCGGCCGGTTGCCGCCCCAATCGCCCATGATTCCGCCGCCCCGAGCCCTTAAAAAGGATGCCCGAGCCATCCTCTTTTCTTTTCCCATTTAGCCCGAGCTCTGCCGCTTGCCGGCGTGCTCCAGCCGCCGCCTCCCGCCGCTTTAACCACAGCGGAGCCGCACCGACACCACCATTGGCATCGCTGTGCCGTGCTCCATCCTATTATCCGTTTTGCTTCCCCAAATCGCCACCGTAACCACCCCTCCACCACGAACCCGAGGCCATTGCCGCGTTTGTCGCCTCTGGCCCCCTCTTGCCGCCGTTTCCGACCTCCTTGCGGTGCGCCGTCGCCTCCTTCGGTTCCGCAAGGACGAGGAGACGCTCGACCGCACCTTCCTCGCTGCCGGGAGCCGTTGGAACCCGACCCCCATCGCATACTGGTGAGCACCTGCCCCTTTTCTTGCTTCCGGCCGGCGATTCAAGCCACCGGGAGTCTCCTCGCGCCCTCCTAACCTCGCCATCTTCTTCCCCAGGTTCTAGAGATCCCCGGTCGCCACTCCTCGCCCGTCGGCCGTCGTTGGACCGCCACTGTTGTCCTCATCCCGAGCGACGCCACCGACTAGTCCCCGCCGCCGGCCACTCTCCTTGCTTCCTAGCCGGTCCGCACACTCGGTGAGCTCCTCCTCTCCCTTTCCCCTCCCTTCGCCGCCTCCCGCGCGTGCTGCGGCCCTAGTGGTCGTCGCTGGTGACCATCGGGCCGTGCGCCGTCGCTCCCCGACCGGTCGGCCGGTGAGCCGGCTCCCGCTCGCCCGTGGCCGCCCGATTCACCCCGGATGAATCTGGGCCATCCACGTGGCCCTCCCCTGTGCCGGCCCACGTTGGTGCCCTCGTGACGCCACATCGGCGCCACCTCCGTCTACAGGTCCGCCGTGGTCGCTACGTGGCTTCCACGTGGTGCGCCCGCGGGCAGCACGTGCGTGGACTCGGTCCACCGTGCGCCCGCCCCTTTGAGCCACCAACAGGTGGGGCCTGCTTGTCGGCGCCACCTATTCCCCTCAGTGACGTCATAAATGGTTATAATTGCGCAATAAATTCGGATTTAATTATAGAAATTCCTTTAAATGGCTCAAAATTCTAAAATTCATATCTAATTCATACGAACTCCAAATTGAGCTGTTCAACTTGCAAAATTCATCTAAAATCGAGCTTTGCATGTTTGTTTACTTTTCATGTACTATTTACTTGGTTTTTTATTAGAGTTTTTCCTCATTTTACGTGCCAGCGCATAGATTCTGCCGTTTCGGAAGATCGCAATCGCAAGGATCAGTGTTCGGAAGAGTGTTTTGAAGAAGCAAGGCAAGTCACACATTCCCCTTGAGCATTTTGATCCTATTTTACAAATGTTTTATCGTTTGCAAATAAAATTGCATGTCTTGCTAATTACATGGGAATAGGGTTTACCTATCTGCTCACTTGTGCCATGTTTACTTGATATCTGTCCTTTGTCAATGTTGGGTGATAAATAGACTAGCTTGTGTTACTCTGATGACCTAGCTAGAACTATATGCTTAGCCATGCTTAATTACCACTAGCTCAGTTGATGGGATAATTACAGTATTAGACATTTAGTATCATGACGAGCTGCGTGCTCGGGACATCCGGCCATGTCATTGGTCATAATTATCCAACTAAAATGCGACTGAATGGTGGGCTGTAGTTGCATGGTTTTGCTGGTCGCACCCATGGCAATTGAGGACCGGTTCGCGGGAAATCCTGGAAGACATACAACGCTTGCTACAAGCGGGAATGGGTAATTGCTTGATATGTAGTATAGCTTTCCTTTGGCTGACGTTCCCAGGCTAGGGTGGGAGTGATGGAGTTTGGATGGGCCCTGCGACAGCCTTTGTGGCTTCTGGATCCACCGTGGCACGAGGGGGAGCTGCTCGTTGCCTGCTGGGGACGGCGGGGAAACCTGAGGTGTGGTGCGATTGGTCAGAGGGGGTTATATGAAGGGTCTTGTCACAATCACTCGACATGGTGACGTGTCCGGCCAGGCGCGGTGACATGCCGGTGGATTGTGTCTTGTGGGTACATTTGTGTACCTCTGGCTAGAGTAAAACTATTTGAATAGCCATGCCCGCGGTTATGGGTGATTGACCAGATTCACCGTGATTAGTCTCACCTCTAATAAATCGACTCATTGCACTGGTTAGTTCAAGTGGTTTGGTTGGGCCTATTCAACGTGGTGTAGTGTTGATCAGTGGAGATTTAATGTTACCTTAATTAATCAATTGTTTTACTGTTTTGCTCAATAAAATGCTTTACAATTGCTTTTATGCAAATAGCCACAAACCTCTCCTTGTATCCCCTTGCACGTCTGCATCATTGTTGTGGCTTGCTGAG